ACTGTTTTATCCAGGTCTACGGTTCCTACTAAAGGTGCATTATTAACAATGTCAGAACTAGGTGGTACTACTCCCCCTGTTAATATCAACGAAGATTTCACTTTTACGTCGGTCAGAGTCGGTTTTTTGAGGCGTCGCGTAACACACTGGCACATTCGTCACTGTCAGTGCCCGTGTTGTCGGCGCATATGCCATCATTCTTCTTACAGGCCAAAGCCAATAGGCTCATAGCCTCCTGTATTAGCAATGCCTTGTTGGCACAGCAAAACATGCAAAGCCAATGTGAGTTAGGCTTCGAACATCTTTTATATGCAGTGGGACTTAAACGGGTGCACATTTTGTGGAACCATTTATTGCATTCGTCACACTGCATTCCTTCCTCCACAGGGAACAAACAGTTTGGTTATCCACATTTGTGGGTACTACCAACCATTTTAGTCTGATTAAGATGTAATACACAATATGGTCACAGTATGAACCACAAGACAAACTCTAGCAAGATGTCAAATCTTAACTAAAGTACTTTAAAGTATCAATTGATACAGACCAAGAACGCTTTCGAATGTAATAAATACACAAAAGCCAAAAAAACTCAGCAAAATATCACCTTAACTGGAGTAGATTCAATTAAAGTGTAAATCGTAGTTTTGATACGTAATTTACGATCAAAACAGTTTAAAAATTTAACGAGAAACAATACCACTGTCCTTTTTAGATAGCGCGCGTATGCTGGTCTCAAGTCGGGCACTTGCAGATTAATACTTCCAAATGTGTTGTGATGCATATTGTTCACCAAGGTACAGATAGATACGTGATGAATAACATTGAGCTTACTGTTGTCTAGACACACAATGACTTAGGAGTCATCCTTAGCCAAGACTTAAAGACTACAGCACACTGCCGTGCAATAGCCGCCAAAGGTTTTGAAACCTTATGGTCAATACGTAGGGCTTTTAGTAATGTCGACGCTAAGAAGTTTTTGACTTTGTATACAGTGTTCGTACGTCTTAAACTTGAGTACTGCATACAAGCGGCTAGCCCCTGATTGAAAAAAGACAGTGAGCTTCTGGAAAAGGTCCAAAGAAAAGCAACTAATCTGATTACCGGAATAGCGAAGCTTCCGTATGATGGACGACTGGCCAAGCTGAACCTATTCCCGTTTTCATATTGAAGAACTATAAGCGACTTGATTACAGTTTTCAAATTGCTTAGTGATAAATTTGCACCTGATATGCCCCCATTTTTCTTGTCTCCCAAAAGAGAATTTGCAAGGACACTCCAAAAATGTTCACAAGCCCAGGATAAATTACTTGTCAGCTGACTATCGACTTCCCCATCGAATCATCAACGAGTGGGATTCATTACCTCAGCACGTGGTTGAGGCTCCATCCGTCGACTCTCAAAAGAAGGTTGAATCAACTGAGAGACCATCATTGTCAGGACTAACACTGGCAATCAAGCCTCCTGTCCTTCCCAAACTGAAACTGAAACTAAAGTTTGTGAACGTCGGTTATTGCCCACAGGATTCCTCCAAAACACAAATGCTTACAGTTCACAATATTTCCCAAGATATGTGATGTGCAAACTCAATATGTGATGTACTAGTTGAAGTCATTACTTACTAACGCCTGTTACTCCTCGTCGAGGAGCATAGGCCGGCCACCAGCACTCACCATCCAATCCCGTCCTGGTCAATCCTTTCCAGCTCTTTCCACTTGTTATTCACCCTTTTCATATCTGCTTCTATTTCCCGACGTGATGTGTTCTTTGGCCTTCCTCTTTTCCGCTTTCCTTCACAATTCCATGTTAGAGCTTACCTCATGATGCAGTTTGATGATTTGCGTAATGTATGTCCTATCCATTTCCATCATCTTTTCCGAATTTCCTCTTGAGCTGGAAGCTGGTTTGTTCTCTCCCACAAGGAGCTGTTGCTGATGGTATCCGATCATCGGACATTGAGTCTCTTGTTTAGACAACTATTTATAAATACTTGCATCATTTTGATGATGGTTGTAGTAGTTCTCCACGTTCCAGCTCCGCACAGTAGGACTGTCTTGACGTTCGTATTGAAGATTCTGACTTTGGTGTTGGTTGGCAGTCAGTCGTTTTAAGTTCCATATGTTCTTCAATTGTAGGAATGCGGCCCTTGCTTTTCCAATCCTTCCCTTTACGTCTGCATCTGATCCTCCTTGTTCGTTGATGATGCTTCCCAGGTACGTATGGGATTTTACATCTTCCAGAGTTTCGTCATCGAGTGTGATTGGATTGGTGTTCTCCATGTTGTATTTGGGGACCTTGGTTTTCTCCTTGTGTATGTTGAGGCCTACTGATGCAGAAACTGCTGCTACACTGGCTGTCTCTACCTGCATTTGTTTGTGTGTATGCGAGAGGAGGGCTAGGTCATCTGTCAGTTATCCTCCTCACCTCATGTAGCTGTCCATCAGAATAATTCATGATAACGAATCAAACTTACTCAACACGGCTCTAAATAAAATCACTGAATGAGCGTTATGCACCGGGTGACTTCTTCCTAAGACGTCATTAAAGTCTCAGGTGTTCCAGAGAGATATAAGGTTGAGGTTTCTAGAAGCCCCTAACTCCACATGGATATGTTCCCGACCGTCAGTTGCACGTCGCAACGTAACTTTCATAAAGCGCGCCAACTGTGATGTTGAAAACATGGGTCTTACTAAAACCATCTACATTCATATCTTATAAAATATCAACCCAACTGAGTAATTAGCTACGGTGAAATTTGTATCTTTTGTAACAATTTGATCTTGCCTGTAAACTGGCATACCTCATGTAACAAATTGTCATTTGAGAATGAATTATTATTAAATAAACCATTTTATGATGCGTCAATAATTGTAGTCTTTATAACCAGTATTTTCCGAAATCCGACATATTCAGGGAAGTTTCTAGATTTTAAGTCTGCGCATCCACATCCTACCAAAGTGACAGTAGCCAAAAATTTGATCACCATAGTCAAAAAAACTTGTCACAACCAAATGATATAAAAATGGACCTGAATTTATTTGTATCCACTCTAATGATGAATAATTATCCGAAGGATTTTATTAAAAGAATAATTAAGAATGAAGAACAAAATGACATTATTAAAAAAAGAATGGATTAACACAGTGGTGATCCCATATCGTAAAGGTATTTCAGAAGAGATCAGAAGGATTCTAACTCTTCAAGATATAAAAGTATTCTTTCAGACAAACAATACTCTAAGATCAAAACTAGTGAGAATCAAAGATCCAATACACAAGGAAGAACAACAGAGTTGTGTTTATGAAATCAAACGTAATGACTGTAATGCGACGTATGTAGGTGAAACATCAAGGCAACTGAATGTGAGGGTGAAGGTGTAACAGCTTAGGTTTGTTGGTTAAGAGTTCACCTCATGCAACTAAGCATATGTCAAAACAGTATAGTTCAAGCATTCATTCACTTCCTTATTTTGTATAGGTTTTACATCTCCTATTATCTTATATTGAATGTTGAGAGGCTTTGTTTGTCTGAACAAATATCCCACGCTCTACTGTGACTGCGCGACGATTTAAATAAAGGCCTATTCACTACCTGTCTGGATTCTTCTGTCAATAGCACGAGGGTTAGCTAGAGTCACGAAAAGGAACACAAACTGTGCTTAAAGCACATTCCTAAATCCTCAGATGATGTAAAAATCTTGAGAATAAATCAGCGATAGAATTACACTCGATAAAATCGAGTCATACAATTGGTTTCAATGGCACAAGGATAATTCAAAAAGGCTTTAATTGTTGCAAAGAACGACTAACAGCCGAAGCCCTACATATATGGGCTTGTAGTGGCATTGGGCCATAACCACACAATCCTCAAAGCTTAACACGAGACAACTGGGGAGATAGATACTCAATATTTAACGCGGAGAAAGACTGGACGATGTATAAGGTGGGAACAATGAATTGGATTATTGGAGTTGATCGGATGGCATGGCTCGGCCATGCAGGCATGGTCCCTGCTGAATGCTACCTTATATCTTTTGTCCATATTAAATATATTGTTCTATCTCTAGCCTAAGTTTGTCCTCTATCATGTATTGGTAGGTGTTACAACCCAGTGAGTACGTGTAGACGATGATGTGACTTCCACGTAAGATCTTATAGATTAGGCAGTTATATCATGACAAATCTACAATTTAGGATTAGTTCTATTATTAGAGAAGTACTAGTACCATAATAGACCATAATTCTACAGGCTAATCCAAACAGTATTAATAGGAGAGATATAATACAACTAGCCGTCTCATGGCAACTAATAATTAATGTATAAACCTAAACTCCTCATTCCATCTATCTATTTATATCATATTAACTAATCAATAAATAATACGTTCAACGGTCCAAATCAGTTATCTTATCTGAATATGTTAAACAATCGACTGGAACATTAAAATAATACAAACTTTCAACCTCAAATACATTCCTCCTTGAATTTAGTCTTTTACCTTGTTTATTTATCTTCATTTAATGCATTCTGTGACATTTTGATTCATATCATATGTAAAATGATATGTTTTCCTAATATACACAGACGGAAGACAATATGTAGTCCAATGAAATTTCTTCTCACATCACTTACGTATACACACAATCTATTATCTTAACACTCTTCGTTTCACATCACATTTCTTTTACACACTAATGTAAACACCTACTTCAAAAACTGTTTTGCGTTGAATGGTGACTTATTCAGTATATAGTAAACCAGAGAACCATGTACCTATTTGTATTCGATAATTTTGTCCGATTATATTTTCCTTGAAAAGGCTTGGTCCAGATTGCCAGGCGAAACGTTGGATTAACTTCAAATTCTTTCGCTGAGATTTTACAAATACATTCTTTCTCCTTAATGTCTCACATTAACTCGGCGCTCAAATATTGTGAAACTGTTCGTTCGAATTTAGACGAACGTTCTTATTGTAGTCTTTAGTTTTGAATCTATGTCGCATGTCTTCTTCAGGTAAGTCTTATCAGGCTGTAGTTCGTTCTTTGAGCTTATAGGCTTAATTATCCATAGTTAGCCATTTAAGTAGCATGTCTGTTCAAGTGGAATTAATAATCATGACACCTCTTCGGTTTAGTATACGGTGTTGTGCTGCAATTCAGTTTAGTCAGGATATTAATGGTAAGTGAGGGAAGTAATAAGGTATATAGGTGAAGTAATTAGAGTTGCTTCCTTTTTTGCTACTGTGAATACCCTTAAGCATCAAAATCAACGAGCGATTAATATGAAATTCCGTAGTGCAAGTACCTCCAGGAAGCTGAAGTTGAGAGCTTAGAAGTTGTATATTACAAGAGAAGTCTTAGCCTTTTCTGAAAACTAAGGAGAAACCGTAAAGACTCATATCAGCCTGCTTTAAATAAGAATATTAATCCACTTACAAATACAAATAAAGTATATTGGATGCTGTTGCTGTTCGACATCTCAGTATAACATTTAGTGTGAGAAAAGGTGATAAGTATGTTCGGTTTAACATGTATGTTTGGTTTAACACTCGGGCACACAAAGCACGTAATAATGTCGCAAGAAATGCACTGACCTGTGCAGTAGTACTAGTAGCAGCGAAAAACTGAGAAAACAAGACATTCCAAAAATTAGCGCCACCATTTACGCCGTCAAACAAATTATGGAATTTCGACAAACTGAAGGATCAAATATTGTAGCGACACCAAAATGTCAACAAGAAAAACGTACAACACAGGACAAGACAGACAGCTTTTCTTATAAAGACGGTCGAAATGGAAATTCCTGCTTCATGCTGGTTGGTCTCTATGTAGACTGTCGAAATTACAGAATCGAAATCGTGTATTCAAGACAAAATACCCACGGCCTTTGTTAGTGTTTTTTAGTAAGCTTGTGATTGTTTACTTTTCTCTTGAATGAGTCATTTGAAGGAGCGGACATCAAGTCTTCGGGTAACAGGTTCCAAGAATTGATTGCTTAGTGTGGAAACCTGTACTCTACGGCCGTTTTCCCTCTTCTTGGCTTTTGTATTCGACCACATGTTCTATGAGTTGCCCTGACCTGTTATGAAGAGAAACGGAGGATATATCAGGTTCGAAATCAGGTCACCTTTTAATCGGTGGTGCAACAGAGTGAAAAGGTCGAACTTCTGGAGTTGCTCTTTGCATGTTACGCCCCAGAGTTCTGAAATCGCATGGGTAGTTGCCCTTCGTGCTTCTTCTATGATGTCTGAGTAACATTTTAGACAGGGATTTGCAGCCCGAACTCAGTTTTTAAGTTTGGATCTCTCTAAGTTTATGTATACCATATTGGTAAATATCCGTCTTAAAGCCCTAAGAACTGTAAATGCTTTATCTGAGGTCACATGGGAGCATGCTGTGTTCTCAAGATCATGGCTCACGGTTACGCCTAGATCCTTGTGAGACAGGACTACAGGCACTAAACCTTCCTGTATCCGTGAGGTACATGTGGATACACCTTGCTGCCGTGATGAGGGTCATCAGTTCTTTAGACAAACCAACCAGAATGTATACAGCCGTCTGAAGTACACATTTGTGGCGTGGCGTCGAGTCCCAGCTGACTATGAACACCGCTACCAAGAAGCACATACCAAACAAATCAGAAGGCGGATTGGAATCAAGTTTGTTCAATTGGCGATCTTGTAGCGTGAAGTCGAGTCGAAATTGATTATGAACACCACTACCAAGAAACACGTGCCAAGTAAATCAGAAGGCGAAGGTTGAACGTAACCAAATAAATCCATAAAATCCTCGAGAAGCCAAATATCAGAAGGCAGTTAATGGACCAAGTCGAGATATATTTGCTGTCGATCTCGTGGTATCGAAAGGATACCGAGATCGTGCCAGGATACAAGCTTGGTTACAATACGTAACCGAATTCGCGCGATTCACAATCAAAGTGTGAGAGTAAGAATGGAAGCACAATATAGCTGTCATTTGCACAGTCGAACAAAAGCACATTAAAACAAACACTGGTACAGTTGGTTATAATAATAATTGTTTTTATTAAACCAGTCGTGTTCTCGTGATAAATGTGAGTCACTACAATCTGATGGTATCGAACGAATACCAAGATCGTGCCAAGAAATGATACAAGCGAAGACAGGAGAACGGAGTACGTGCGAACAAAGCCGAAAACCGTGGAACAAAGATGGAAGGTAACCAACCAACCTAGGCTGTTACAGAAGCACAAAGTGGCCGTGATTAGCACAGTTAAACAAAAGCACATTAAAACAAGCACTGGTGCAGTTGATTATAATAATAATTGTTTTCAGTAAACCAGTCGTGTTCTCGTGATACAAGTAAGTCCCTACACATTCATCGAATCTTTTTTGCCAGATTTTTACATCATCAGTCGATTGTAGCACATTAGACTCACCAATACCGATTTCATGAATATAAACACAAACAACACAATAAAAAGATAAAACAGCCTCGCAGCACTCCATTGAGTACTGGCTTCTAATATGAGCATTTGGACTTTCTTATTACTTTCCATGACTTTACCAAGAAATCCTTGATCCACTTAATGAAACGTCAGGCAATTTCTAGACTTCCCACCCTCAAGAGTAGCCTATTTATAAGTCACGAGCCAGATTTGAGCTTATTTCCAGTCTAAAAGTTTGGTAATGCAATGATAAAACTAAGTTTATCAGAAGTATGTAATATATTTGCATTTCGAACAATCTGGTCACACATATACTTGCTGAGAACATTTATACATGAAAATTAAAGGATTAAGGGTCGGGACATCTCAGAGAACATAGTAAGCGAGTAGAAAAGCCAAGAACGAACAAAATACTAATGGCATACAGGTTTTCACACCGAGTCATCAATACTTGGAACCTGTTAACAAAAGCAGTGGTGTTTGCACCTTCAAATGACTCATTCAAGAGAAGAATGGACACTCACAGAAGCATACTAGAAAAGGAATAACATAGGCCGTGGGTCTTCTGTCCTTAGCACACAAATCTGAATCTAAATAGTTTGTTAATTCCGTCAAGTTTGAAGGTCATAACTTCGGCTCCAATTTTGGTGCAACAGTCGTAACGGTAAGATAGGGACGAACTTTGGTTTGAAATTACTGATTGGTAGGATCAATACTTTTAGTTGGGCAGCTGCAGTTATTTAGAAGCTAATTGTACTGAGAATATACACGCATCTCATCGGAGGTTTCACACGAACGGCAGTTCAAGACATTTTAATCGAATTTATTTCAGTCAGAGTTTACGATAAAAGTATCATTTTTATGTCTAAAGTGGTTTATCGTCAGTACTTTTGAGTGCCTTGTTTTCCTACTGCATTTGTTAGTACTTATGTCTCCAACATTTTACAGTTTACATTTTTGGTCATAGATCATTTTTGTCTCGGTACTATTGTATCTAGTTTTTTTTAATGACCTGTTAGATGACTGGACAGTGCAAAAAAGCAGTTGCCAACGTCCGGGCTGTCGATATCCTGTTGAGAGCGACATGCAGTGCGATGAGTGTAAAGGCTGGTATTACGGAGTTTGTCTGAACTTGACGCCTGCGGCTTTCAAACGGTTGCATATGGCTTTGCCAGCAGTGCTGTTCGGACCCAAAAAGCCTACTAACCGAGGCCATTTCAGTAGTAAATGCGGTGAAAATTGTTTCAGCAAGCGCGGTCGGGACACATCAGACAACACTTGCTCTGTCGATACGCAAATTGATGTGAAACAACCTCAAGTGACCTCGAAAACAGCTGACTTACACCGATCAAAGAAGAAGCGATAGTCTTCAAAGTGGTTTGTCTTAATTAAAAACTCAAGAAAAGAGGTTTCCTCTGTTCCCCATCATCTAAATGGTATCCAGGGGGAAACACCTAGGAGTCGCGATCGCAAGGCTCGTTTTGTTTCTAGTAGGAAACACAACCTGACTTCCCAAGTCGTCGATAACCTTCCGGAATCCCACAGTATGTTTGACGCTAGTGTGGTTGCTACTCCAACGAAAGTTGACGAACGGGTACAGGTCGCAAGCAAGTAACGACATAACGATATAAACGAGAATCCTACCCTCCAAAAGTAGCCGAGAAATTGAAGACTGATCATAGTGACAGGTCAGTTATTTTTCATAGAACCAAGAAGAGTAAAAGCTCTGAACCAGAAACTCGTTTTGAGCATGACATTGTGCTACTTAATCAACTCATGACTCAAAATATCCCCGGATTCACCTTGCTAAAGATGTACAGACTAGGTAGTCTAGCGAACTTGAAGCCTAATCAGTCCAGACTGCTTAAAGTAGTATTCAAGTCTCCAAATGAATGGGACTTAATTTGACAGAATGGACATAAATTAAGGGGTTCAGAAGTTTTTGTCCCTAAGGACGTGAGGCTGGCAGACTGTGTAAAAAGACGGGAAGCAGAAAAAGGATAACAAATTAGGTTAGACGCTGGCGAAAAGGACCTAAAAATTGTAAATTTTCGAGTTGTGAGGCTTCGGCAGGGAATGATGCGAAGCCACTCTGGGTGCAGCACAAAGCCATTTAAATAGGCTTCGGATCTGCTACACTAATGCTCAAAGCTTATTCCATAAGCGATCGGAACCAGGTGTACATATTGACTCCACAAAGCCAGATATAATCGCAGTCATAGAAACTTGGCTGACGCAGCCTATAAATGGTATAGAACTTGATTTCGAGGGTTTTACGTTAGTAAAAGCAGACAGAATCCAGAAGCGTAAAGGAGGGGGAGTAGCTCTATTCACTAGGAATGCTATTCCATTTGCCATTATCGACACTGTATCCCATGAGAGTGGGACGTGTGAATTAGTTAGTTACCGCTTGAAATGCAAGGGTCAAGAGCTGCTGATTGGTTTGATCTATCGCTGTTCAAGCTGTAAGATACATGAGATCTTGCTAAGCAGTCTCAATACTTGATCACAAAGTGGTCGATGTCTAATTCTAGGGGACTTTGATGCACCCATGGTACACTGGGAAAATCTGCGAACTGAATTGTCAGAAAATTCCTTCGAGCAGGAACTAGTTGATGCGGTTATCATATGTGCCCTAGTGCAACATGTGAAAGAAGCGACTAGGTACGACCCGGACACTGAATCATCCTTACTAGATCTTATATTGACTCACTATGGGGATTATGTTACGAACCTCCATTACATGCCACCCCTAGGTAAAAGTGATCATGCAGTTTTAACTTTCGACTTGCATATAACTGTCAATCACGAGTACACGTTAGCTCAATATAGACCTAACGTCTGGGAAGCAAATATACAAGATATTATGCACTCAGCATCGTCAGTAGATTGAACAATAGAGCCAGAGTCCTCAATTGAAACAGATTGGAGTGAATTTCGGAATTTACACTTAAAAGTTACCGTACCACACATCGCTTCGTCTACACCAAGGAGGCCGAGAAACTCTCCACCATGGTTCGGAGGGGAGGTCCGCATCCTTCTCTGTAAGAGAAGAATACGGGGTCGATTCAGGTTACTGGGGACTGACGCGATAAAATCTTTATATTGGGAAACTCGGAATACCTGTACCTTGACGCTCCGTAAATCTAGAAGGTTGTAAGAAGAAAAAATTGTCAAGGATTCCATAGAATGTCCTAAACGCTCGCATTCATATATAAACCAAAGGACAAAAAGAAGAGGAAATATTCCAGTACTATGGGGAGACAGTACTGCTTTATCATTAGTGGAGGACGACTTGGCAACGCCTAGGCATTCTCAAACTACTTCAGCAATGTATATACCATAGAAATACCCTTCCTAGCTAGCTACCACTCCACCGAAAAGTATAGATGAGCATTGGTTGCAATTGCATGGCGCCATGAAAATGGCGGGTACAGTCAGTAGTGGGTTCGCGAAACGTCCCGCTTATAAGCACTGGGTTTCTTCAGGCTCCTTACAACTCATTGAAGCCCGTCGGTCTACTCCGGGTGACCGTGAGTTTGACCATAGACGAAGGATCCTACGTAAGGAAATTGGGCAAAGCTTGCGTAAGGACCGAGAAGCCTGGTGGTCGGGGCGTGCTAATGAGCTGGAAGCAGTATCTGCATCTGGTAGAGTGAGAGCTTATGGTGAACTGTCATCAGAATTGATCACCTCAAGTGGTGTTCGTCAGGGCTGTCCACTCTCCCCATTCTTGTTTAACTTTGTCATTGACGTACTTTTAGAGATAACACTCTCCTCATCTAAATATACAGGGGTTGAACTTCTACCAGGAGGTTCACTTGTTGACTTAGAATATGCAGATGACATAGTTTTATTTGGTGAAGACGCTGACAAAATGCAGAGTCTTCTGACCACTCTAAGCAACAATGCAAGCATGTTCGGGATGCGATTCTCTCCCTCGAAATGCAAAATGTTGATTCAGGATTGGGTTACATCGACACCCGAACTAGTGATAGGGAGTGAAGTAGTTGAGTGTGTCGACCGCTTCACTTATCTTGGAAGTCTCATCAGCCCTTGTGGTTTGGTGTGTGACGAAATCTCAGCACGGATACAGAAGGCTCGACTAGCTTTTGCCAACTTGCGTCATTTATGGCGTAGGCGAGATATCCGTCTATCAACCAAAGGACGTGTTTACTGCGCAGCAGTTCGTTCCGTCCTACTTTATGGCAGTGAAACATGGCCGGTAAGAGTAGAGGATATCCGTAGGTTACTAGTATTTGATCATAGGTGTCTTCGAAACATTGCTCGTATATCATGGGACCATCGAGTAAGTAACACAGTTGTTAGGAAACGGGTACTAGGTAAGGATGGCAAATCAATTGATGAAGTAGTGAAACTTCATCAGTTGAGATGGCTGGGACACGTGTTACGTATGCCCTACGACCGACTGCCTCGACGTGCTATGTTCAGTGGTATAGGAGTAGGTTGGAAGAAAGCTAGGGGCGGCCAAACCAAAACATGGCACAAATCCATGAAGTCACTGACAAGTGAACTGAGTCATGTTGGTAGGTGTAGACTACCTGGTTGGGGACCGCGAGATGATAGCAACCGATGGTTAGAGACCCTGAATGACATGGCTCAAAATCGTTTGCAATGGCGCAGGTGCATCCACTCTCTGTGTTCTCCCAAACTCTAATCTTCTGAATTCTTCATGTCCCTTTTTTCCTCTTTCCAAATTTCTTTCACTGTATTATACTCTTTAAATAACATCTCCAAACCCTAATCTTCCCGATTACTGCTTATACTCTTATTACCTCTATCACTACGGGATTTGAATCGACCACTGTATCTCTGTGCTAATGTGGTGTGGCAACTCGAACTGATGTACGTACGTACGAAGTTCTACGTTGTTACTGACTGACTGACTGACTGACTAATTACCGGAAGCTCTTCCAACTCATCCGAGCCACTGGTAGCAAGAAGTCTGGTGTGAGCGAAACAGTCTGCGAGGATGATGAGATGCCAATCACTAACATCCATCGACGTCTTGGACGATGGGCAGAATTCTTCGAAGGACAGTTCAGCTGGCCTGCTGCTCCGGCAACATCGGTCAGACTGTCCTGCCCTCCATGGCCGGTGACGACTGATCCACCAAATGAGGCGGAAGTCCGCAAGGAACTCCAACTCTTGAAGCGTTACAAATCACCTGGCCCAGATGACTTACCTCCGGCTCTTTTTAAAGATGGTGGTGACTTTTTGACTAAGGAACTGACGGCGTGGTTTACAAAGATCTGGGAGTTAGAGGGTGTACCAGCGTCATGGAATGAGGGCATACAACCACCTCTCTCCATTGTCCTATTCGAGCAGTGGGGTTAGGCAGGGTTGCCCAATCTCACAATTCCTCTCCAACTTTGCCATCGATGACATTCTGTAAACAGCTCTGATGAATGTAAGTAATGGTGGTGTGGATCTGTTGCCTGGAGAAAGACTTCTCGACCTTGAGTATGCGGACGATATTGTCTTACTGTGCGATAATGCCCAAGGCATGCAATCCGCACTTAATCAGTTGGCAATCAGTGTCCGTAGGTATGGTATGTGCTTTGTACCTTCGAAGTGCAAAGTACTTCTACAAGACTGACAGGATTCTAATCCTGTACTCACCCTGGATGGTGAGCAGATAGA